CTGAAAAATAATCAAAGGCAATTATCAGTGATGATAATCTGAAAATATACTGGAAGAAAATGTGATCCCACAGAGGCATCTTCCATTTTGAGAATACCTAATGAGAGTCTCTTACTTAATGTGTTTAGACTGCTACAAGATGACTATGCAGCTGAACATTCTTTCTTTATGATATCAATATATGAAAAGAACAAATTAAGAGTGAGGTAAATTTGTAAATTCCATTTTCAAGATTTATTTTAACACAGACCATTTCCCACTCAAGGAAAAAAATATTTTTAGCATCACTCATTCCCTAACTTCCTTTCCTGAATTGCATGAACATCATAATTTACATAATCTGTTGACTTGCAGACCCTCAGTTATCCTTCAGAATGCAGGCACTGTGCCTGCCGCCTCCAGAACTAAAGTGCAGCTCACTGGCCTCTTGAATGTCTTCATGAATACAGTGGACCCCCGGTTAACGATTTTAATCCGTGCAAGAGGGGTAATTGTTATGCGAAATAATCGTTATGTGAATGAATTTTCCCCATAAGAAATAATGGAAATAAAATTAATCCGTGCAAGACACCCAAAAGTATGAAAAAAAATTTTTTTTACCACATGAAATATTAATTTTAATACACACAAACTGAAAAAGGCATGCACACTTACATGACACTTACTTTTATTGAAGATCTGGTGATGATTGATGGGATGGGAGGAGGGGAGAGCATTATCTTCTTACTGTTTAGAAGGGAATCCCCTTCCATTACGACTTGAGGTAGCAAGTCCTTTTCCGGGGTTACTTCCCTTCTTCTTTTAAATGCCACTAGGACCAGCTTGAGAGTCACTGGACCTCTGTCGCACAACAAATCTGTCCATAGAGCTTCTGTACCTCCCGTTCCTTTACGATTTGTCTAAAATGGGCCACAACATTGTCATTGAAATAGTCACCAGCACGGCTTGCAACAGCTGTGTCAGGGTGATTTTCATCCATAAAGGTTTGCAGTTCAACCCACTGTGCACACATTTCCTTAATCTTTGAAGTAGGCACAATGGATTCCACAACTGGCATAGGCTTCTCAGGGTTTAGCCCCAAACCCTTCAAAATCTTCTTAATTTCCATACTAATTCTCACCCTTTTTACCCAGGGTTGGCACTAGAAGCTTTCTTGGGGCCCATGGTCACTTATTTTCCAGAAACAGCACCGAAAACACTGTAATAATACGAAATATTCCGAGTGTATGCTTGGATGTTACCGCGGAGGCTGGCTGGTAAACAATGGGACGGGCGGCACATGTGAGGGCACATTGGACGCGTCTCGGACGAAAATCGGTGAGCGGGTTTTTAATCGGTATGCGCGGCAAAAATTTTGCGATAAAAGTAAGCGGTATGCGGAAAAATCGCTATGTGATGCCATCGTTATGCGGGGGTCCACTGTATTACCTTGCTCAAATTCAGCTCAAACATTCCTTGAGTACATGACACAAACAGGATATTTTTCTTAATAACTAAGCTTTTCCCACACAGGAGCTTCATGAAGTTAGGACTGACTTCATAAAGCCCTTATGTGTTGATGCATCATTAATAAAGGTATAGTGGAGCCCCGGTATACGATATTAATCCGTTCCTGAGAGATCATCGTATGCTGAAATTATCAGAAGGTGAATTAATTTTCCCCATAAGAAATAATGGAAATCAAATTAATCCATTCAAGACACCCAAAAGTACTATGAAAAAAAAAGTTTTACCACATGAAATATTAAGTTTAATGCACACAAACTGAAGAAGACATGCACAGTCTGTAGTACTCTACTAACACTTACCATTAATGAAGATCTGGTGATATTGATGGGAGGGAAGGAGGAGGAGAGTGTCGAACTTAATGTTTTAGAAAGGGGAATCCCCTTTCCATTATGGCTTTAGGTAGCAAGTCCTTTTCCAGCATTTACTTCCCTCTTCTATTAATGCCACTAGACCACTTGAAGAGTCACTGACCTCTGGTCGCACAACATATCTGTCCATAGAGCTCTGTACCTCCCCGTTCCTTTACGATTTGTCCTAAAATGGGCCACAACATTGTCATTGTAATAGTCACCAGCATGGCTTGCAATAGCTGTGTTAAAGGGGTGATTTTCATCCATAAAGGTTGCAAGTTCAACCCACTTTGCACACATTCCTTAATTGTTTGAAGTAGGCACAATGGGATTTCCACTGGGGTCCACTGATTTGGCTGCATCACACATGGGTTTTTATGAAGTCAGGGCTGACTCCACAAAGCCCTTATGTGTTGATGCATCATTAATAAAAGTATTTGCTGCATCTAAATGTCATTTACTTTGACTTGCTGGTATTTACATACCATTCCAGGTTCACACATGCTTTCTGGTGTACAAACCTTCCTCTCAATCTTCCCTCTCATTCTCCTGCCAATCCTTCCTTGGATGAACCTTTCTCCTCCTCCTGTCTACAAGACTAGCCAGATAGGGGAGGAGATAAAATTTGGAACAGGATGTAGCAGTGAAAAAATTTATATACACAACCAGAGGATTAAACAAATAAATAGCCCAACAATTTTGGGTCTGGTGTTTTAAGATAATGTTTGTTAATTTCTATTTCAAAAGCTTACATGTTCAATTTTGACATGGCAGCTGGAAATTGTTATGATGCTGGCCTTGCTGATATTGGTTGCTCTGCCTACACAAGTTAATGGGTACTTATCTGTTCTGGGTTTACTATATGATTGTCATCCTGAATCCATCTTCTGTAGTTTGTTTCAGTTTCAGTACCCTTGTCACTGAAGCACTCTCTATGATTACTGGTTATTACCACATAGCTATATACTATCTCATGGCATATACTGAATCTGTCTAAACTGAATATTTCTTCAGTCTTGTAGTCAATTCTATATTGATGGTACCACTTAGTTTATACTAGAACAATTAATATCCAACATTAACTGTGTCAAAAATCTAATGAATGCTGGTCTTATCACCATATAGTCTTAACTTTCAAGGTAATCATGGAATACAGTTTGGACAGACATGAACACTACAGTGAATGTACTGTTTAGATAACACATACACATGTCAGTCTCATACAAGAAATTCCCTACCAACCCTTGAAAAAACCTCATCAGGACCCGGCGACTTATTTTGCTTCAATCTGTCTATCTGCTTCACAACCATTTCACTAGTGACTGTGATGTTATATAATTTATCTTCTTCCGTTGGTGAGGTTCTTAAGGGCAGTGATGTATCGTCTAGGAAGATTAGAAGAAGAAGGTTCACATAAAGCTGCAGTGAAAAGGCCCTGTATATAACCTTGCTTCCCTCACCATGATGACCTTCCTTCCCTCTCCACGATAACTTTCCTTCCTTCACCATGATAACCTTCCATACCTCACTATGATAACCTTCCATCCCTCTAAATGATAACCTTCATTCTCTCACCATGATAACCTTCCTTTCCTCACCATGATAACGTTCCTTTCATCACCATGGTAACCTTGCTTCCTTCACCATGATAACCTTCCTTCTTTCACCATGATAACAATCCTTCCCTCACCATGATAACCTACCTTCCCTTGAATTGTAATGCTATATGGTCATGTTGACCAACATCTTGGAATCTTGATGCAGAGAATTCAACACTTACCTAACCTACAGGCATGACCTACTTCCACTAATAAATTTTCTCCACCAGTAACTCTGCTTCTAATTGTTTTATGTCACCTGTCTGGAGTATATAAAGCCACTTCTATGTACATATGCTGTACTTTTATCAAGATTGATGGACTGAGATTTTGGGAGATGTTAAGTGAATGTATAGGAGCCTTTGAACCAAGTGAGAGAGTAATTGTGGTAGGGGACCTGAATGCTAAAGTAGGAGAAACTTTTAGAGAGGGTGTGGTAGGTAAGTTTGGGGTGCCAGGTGTAAATGATAATGGGAGCCCTTTGATTGAACTTTGTATAGAAAGGGGTTTAGTTATAGGTAATACATATTTTAAGAAAAAGAGGATAAATAAGTATACAAGATATGATGTAGGGCAAAATGACAGTAGTTTGTTGGGATTTTTATTGGTAGATAAAAGACTGTTGAGTAACTCAGTAGTACATGTTTTAAGAGGGCCACAGATATATCAGATCACTTTCTAGTTGTAGCTACACTTTGGGGGGGAGAGTAAAAGGTAGATGGGATACAAAGAAGAATAGAAAGCATCAGGGAAGAGAAAGTGAAGGTTTTATAAACTAAAGATGAGGCAGTTAGGTGTAAGATATAAACAGCTATTGGAAGGGATAGATGGGCTAATGAGAGCATAGGCAATGGGATCGAAAGAGGTATGGGGTGAGTTAAAAAATGTAGTGGTTAGAGTGTTCAGCAGAGTTTGTGGTTACAGGAAAGTGGGTGCGGGAGTGAAGAGGAGCGATTGGTGGAATGGATGATGTAAAGAGAAGTAGTAAGTGAAAAATTAGCATATAAAAGTTTTTACAAATAGAGTGATTCAGAGAGGGAAGAGTATATGGAGAAAAAGAGAGAGGTTAAGAGAGTGGTGAAGCAATGTAAAAAGAGAGAGGTTAAGATAGTGGTGAAGCAATGTAAAAAGAGCGCAAATGAAGAGTGGGTGAGATGTTAATCCAACAAATTTTTGTGAAAATAGAAAAAGTTTTGGAGTGAGATTTAACAAAGTTAAGAAATCCTAAAGAACAAATGATGTCAGTTAAGAAAAATAGGAGAGGAGAGTTATTAAATGGAGAGTTAGAGTATTGGGAAGATGGAGGGAAATAATTTGAGGAATTGTCAATTTTCGATGAAGATAGGGAAGCAGTGATTCTGTATAGTGACAAGGAGGAATAACATCTTGTAGGAGTGAGGAAGAGCCAGTTTGTGAGTGTGGGGGAAGTTCGTGAGGCAAGTAGGTAAAATAAAGGGGGTAAAGCAGCCCGGATTTGATGGAATAAAAGATAGAAATGTAAAAGCAGGTGGGGATATAGTTTTTTGGAGTGTTGGTGCAATTA